TATTAGGTAATGACCCTACTAATCTTTAAATAGCACGGCAACGGTCGGTAGTCAGGTCAGAGGGTAAGGTGACCCAACCTTCTCACCTGGTTACAAATCTTCTTAATTACAAAATTGTCCAGTTTGTACATGCCATTACTCAAATTCATGTTGAATGCTTTGGTATGTTTAATGAGACTAGATTCTATGATGTTCCTACTAGCAATTGAATTACAAGGTAATATTGAGGGGGCATTATCCCAGTCAATGCAATGCTTGTTATTCCTCAAATGAACAAACAGAGCATTGGATTCCTGGCCTGTCCTAACACTATATTTATGTTGTTTAAGTCTAGTTACACGAAAGCGCTTGGGAACTTCGTGTTTTCTTCTTTCCTCGTGGTTATCAGCATATACCTAGATCACGCGCACCTACAGTGATTTACTTGCATATACTGTATATGTATATATATGTATATATATATATATATATATATATATATATATATATATATATATATATATATATATATATATATATATATATATATATATATATATATATATATATATATATATATATATATATATATGATGTTGGGTTCCAGCATATTGTGCAGATTTGTATTAAAATCATGTAAATTTCTAGGATAAAATGGGAAGGTGAGATACAGTCAAAATTCTAGCACAAGAGTTGAGGAGTGGCAACAACACTCACCTCCAGCAATATCTTGACAACAGCGGTGGTGAGCTGGTGGGAGATCCTCTGGGAAGTGTCCAGCGTAATGGCCAGTTGACGCTGTTCCCGCTTGTCGTACACATATCTGGGTGGAGGTACTGAAAAAAAAAAGAATACACGCATTATTTAGAAAAAAAATTGCAGTTCCTCAAACCCTTAAAGACCCTTTGAATATAATATTGAACACGAAATTTCATAACTTACGATCTGTTGTGCATGATTTGAGGGGTGGTTAACGAGGTGTGTTTGGGGGAATGGTTAATGAGGTGTATTTTGGGAGTGGTTAACGAGGTATGTTCTGGGAATGGTTAATGAAGTGTGTTTAGGGCGTGGTTAACGAGGTGTGTTTAGGGAGTGGTTAACGAGGTGTGTTTAGGGAGTGGTTAAAGAGGTGTGTTTGAGGAATAGTAAATGAGGTGTGTTTCGGGAATGGTTAGCGAAGTATGTCCTGGGAAAGGTTAACGTGGTGTGTTTGTGGTAATGGATAATGAGGTGTGTTTGGGTAGTGGTTAGCGAGGCAAAGTATACACTCATTAGGTACACACACACAGTAGATAAAGTATCCACACACACACACACTCACAGATAAGGTTCCTTTCTGCCAACTTGATACACTTCTGTGAATGGACGTGGTGAAGGCAGCAGAACCACAGCAACAATAGGGAGGCCCACCACAGCAGGCGGCCTGTGGTGAGGGCGAAGCAGTGGCGGGGGCTGAAGGTGGCGACGGCGTGGGTGGTGACAGGGTAGGTGTGTGGTTTTTGGCGGGGGGCCTGAGGGATGGATGGCCCCCCTGTTTCAGTAGCCACCACCGCCATGGTTAGCTACCTACACGCCCGTCTCATGATTCTGAAAATCAACAAACAAAAATGTTACTTCTCTAAAAATAAACAAAAACAAGGCAGTAACATACCTGCTATAATTAATGAACCAGTCCTGAGCCAACTCCACAAGTCGTCCGCCAAGTTAACGTCAAGAAAGGAGACTTGAATCGTCAGGCGTCTCACCCGTATTGAACAGGGCACAATGATGCAAACGAGTGATCAACATTCTCCTTCAGTGGTGAATATATATCATCATTTTGTTACTTATTATTCGAGTAAATTCTCTTCTAGATTTAGATGCAAAATGATATTTAAATATTAATTTTTCCCTTTGGCTCCACCCGACACTGTTATAAGAAAGACCATCCCCTCCCCCCCTCCCCCCACTTGACACTATATCGGGGCTATCAGATTCTTAGAAAACCCGCGACGTATTTGAATTAGGAGACAATAAACTTACTCCCATATAGTCTACTGACAGACACCAAAATGTCAGAAGGTGTCCAGTCTTTGTTTACTTGGTAGTTGGGTATCTACTGTACTGTAAGCCCCGACCAGCCCCCACTGGTGCTCACCAGATCATAGGGAATAATGGCCGAACTCCCGATAACAGTCCGTCACTGTTGATGTGTGTGTGTGATAAATTATTTATATATTCTATACATATTTATGTTATCTAAATGTTATAAAAGTCTCAAGTTCCGCAAATAATGTGAAAATTGTGCGTCTGCTCCTCAACACGTGATCAGCGGTCTCATGTGTGTGTGTGTGTGTGTGTGTGTGTGTGATGTATATATATATATATATATATATATATATATATATATATATATATATATATATATATATATATATATATACACAAGGATGACCACGTGCTTGTGTTGTGAGCTTAAGCCATTCACGATACATAACACTGGTCAACAGCCAAAATGGTTCACATATGAGATCATGCTCACACAACTAATTTCATATTGCTGAATTCGAATCTGATATTTGTTTTGTTCTATCAGACCAGGTTTTATAAAAAAATCAATAGGTACAAATATTTAATATTCCATCACGTGTCGTGCAAAAGATGAGATTATCTCATGTGACTGTGCTTTCATGACTAATTTCATATTAATGAATATTAATTGGATGTTTCATTCTACCATCAGACCTACTTTCTTAAAGAATAAAAAAAATAGTAAATATAGTAACATTATCGCGTCATGCAAGATACAATTTTAAACCTATCACAGATAAGCTCATAAAAAATTGTACCAAAAAACATAAGTTCAAATCCTTTATAATGACAAAATATGAAGTTCTAAAAGTGCTTCTGAACTTTACTCTTTCTCTTGTACAGCTTGCTCTCTTCTCGTTGCAGTGTCCAGCAATAGTCGCCCATCATGTTAGGACTGAATTGTCCCTGATATCTGCTCTCCATTATGGCGATATCTTGATGAAATCTTTCGCCGTGTTCATCACTAACGTCTCCAAGGTTACCTGGGAAAAATTCAATATGAGAGTGGAAAAAATGCAATTTCAAGGACATCCTTGCTCCCAATGCATGATAATTCTGAAGCATGGTTGTTACGATTTCTTTGTAGTTGTCAGCACGATAGTTTCCAAGAAAATTCTTTGACACATTGACAAATGATTCCCATGCTTTTTTCTCCAGTGGGTTCAATGTTTTGGTGAATTCGCTATCATTAACTAGTATACGAATTTGTGGTCCATTCAAGACACCTGCTTTCAACTTGGCTTCGGAAACCACACCACCTAGTTTCTGAGATAAGTATAGAGTCCCAGCACCGAATTGATCCATAGCTTTGATGAAATTTTTAGCCAAACCGAGCTTTAGATGCAGTGGAGGCAAAAATATCTTTTCTGGATCTACAAGCGGATTGTGAGCACAGTTAAACCTTCCAGGCGCATCTCTTGGTCTTGTCGGCCAATCCTTTCTCACATAGTGCTCTGCATCAGCTCTGCTGTTCCACAAGCACAAAAAGCACATGTGCTTTGTGTAGCCACTCTGAAGGCCCAGTAGTAAACTGATGACTTTGAGATCGCCACATATCTTCCACTGGTGTTTCTCATACTCTATAGCAGCCAACAGAATTTTCATTGTTTCATAGCTCTCAGTCATTTTTGTTGCGTGTGCTATTGGGACAGATGGAAGCCGATTGCCATTGTGTAAAAGAACAGCTTTCAGAGAGTCTTTTCCTGAGTCTATAAACAGCCTCCAATCCTCTGTCTTGTATGTTTCAGACTTGCAGAGTTGTTGCATGAGAGATACTGCGTCCTCGCAATAACAAAGGTTGTTTGCCATCTTGAAAAATGCAGACAGCTGTCTATGTCGGTAACGCGCTGTAGTGATATGCACTCCATCTTCTAGCAGGTTACGCTGCTTTAGTCTGGATCCCAAAACTTCAGCCTTTTCTTTTGACAAGTTTAGGTCCCTGATGAGATCATGAAGCGCTTCTTGAGTAAATAGTTTAGGCCTGGTATTTTCAGAGTCATCCTGGTAGTCGTTTTCCATTGAGGTAGAGGTAGAATCGGAATCACTCAATTCTTGTTCAGTCGGTGGATTTGGGACTGGAAGTTCAGCACTGTGCGGTACTGGTCGGATTGCAGAAGCAATATTGGGGTACTGTACCTTGCCTCGTGTCTTGATTTTTATTCCCTTAATATTTGTGAGACAGAAGTAGCAGTCACTACTGTGGTCTTTAGGTTCACGCCATATCATTGGTACAGCAAACGGCATTCCTGAACTTCGTTTACCACACATCCACTCGCTCAGGTGGTTAACACAAGACTTACAGGCTACATGAGGTGCCCATTTCTTGTCTTGGTCACCCAAATGACATTTGAAGTAACTTTTGTAGTTCAGTCGAACAGCTTTTGTGATTGGTTTCTTGAGGCTACCAGGAGTGAAGGCACCACATATGTAGCAAAAACTGTCAGCACCGTTCACACACTTGCGACGTTCCATGTTTTGTTAATTTCAGAGTAATTACAAATCATGCAGGTGTAGATATGCAATATCATGAATCAGCAAACTGAAACAAACAAAAAAGCACAAATCAGGACAAAATAATTGCATAAGTGGAGCCAATGAGCATATAAATTACTGTATGAATAGCATGGTACACTAAATATATAGATATGCTGGTTCTGGAAAACTGAGCCTGATACAGCTATACGAATGTCATAATTGAATTCAGCACATACAATTACACTAGACTCAGACTGTTTTGATCCAGAACCATGAGAATTTTTTTTTATGTTGACCAGTGTATAATAGGAACCAGTGAAGATCAATGGCATAATGGTGGCACAGCCAGAACTGAGAGCCATGGAGGTGATGCAGCAACACCTGCGGGTCGTACATGTGCCTAACAGCTGTCCACAACACAACACTTCTACCACACCTGGACCAGGCTATCCAAGGCAGACACAGCGGATTGTTTATCACGGAGTCGGTAGTACTGCGAGTCATGTGATTAAATACGGGCGGGGACCTGTGGTATTCGGTGTGATCCTGACACTTAAGTTATCAAGAAAAGTGAAGGTGTGTGAGCGCGTCATATATGGAATCGATATAAATGATCCTACCGCTTTCTCCTCCACACCTTTACTTTCCTCTAAACCCCAGAGTCACATACGGCAACAGTTACATAAACAGTTGTAGCTGCAGACTTGGCTGCCACTCCTACAATTTGCAATGGTGTGAATAAAAGTGGAGAATGGACGCCTCCGACTTTCCATTTTATAGACTTGCTATTCCAAGGCTGGGTCATAAAATTCAATGTACCACCAAGTGTGTGACGGTGTTCTCCACGATTACAGATTGTGGTATGTTTAGGTATTTGCATATTTTCGCGGCCCTGGCACTAGTGGAGGTCCCCGTGGGTGTGGGGGGGTAGTCGACACGGTATAAATGTCCACGACGTTACCTTACAAGCGGGAGACCGCTAATGGCTAGCATTCCCAAAGACCTGTCCCGGGATTCGTCTCGACCCCTTGTCCAAGGTTGTGATACTGTCCTGGTTGGTGTCCCAAGCCGGACCCTACACTGAAACCTGTCGAGGAAGGGCTCGCAGCACCAACGAATGATCCACGATAACATCCTGTCGCGTTGCGTCCCGTCTTGTGGGAGTGATTAAGAGGGGGGTCCATATTTTGAGGCGAGGTGTAAGTTTAAGTATGGTCGATGTTTGAAAGTACTGTACAACTTGGGAGGAGGGTTTAGAAGTGATACATGGAAGGTGACAATAATTGGATATTTCTTTTCACCATCTGACACACCCAAGTAGAGGACGCCACATCGCCCTCATCTAAAAACCACAATCCCCCAGAACGTCAACCGCAATCATCCCGGCTGTCATGTCCACTACCACAACTGTTAGAGAACCACACATCACCAGTATTACTACAGTCACAACAACCACCACAACCCCCAGAGAACAACACAACACCACCACAACCCTTTAAGAATCGCCCACCATTACAGGTTCAGTTACCCCTACCCCAACATCTGAAGCTGGTCCTGACCACTTTCAGTATTTCCAAAGGAAGAGGCATCACTTTTTCCATCTGAACGCTCGTGGCTTATTCCCCAAACTTGACGAGATGAAATTAGTCACTGCCAAAACCAAGACGACAGTTATAGGTGTGACGGATACGTGGCTCGAAAACTCGGTCGAGATTCCGAGTTATGTCATCTAGGGACGTAAATGCTCGTAACTGTAACGGTGGCGGAGTGTGTACATTCATCAGTTACGATCTAGCAATGACCCCCCCCCCCCCGGTGTATTCAAAGGTGGCCTCGAGACAGTATGGGTGGAGATCCTACCCACGACACGTCCCATCCATATTTACCGGGGTCTACTACTGATCTCCAAAGCAGACTGAATTTTACGAGATTTTACGAGCTATTAAAACATTCATGTACAATGGTTTTGCCGAGTATAAATGTATTATGCTCGGTGATTTTAATATAAACGTAATGATATCACCTGGTAAAGCTTTTGT